AGTCCAGCACAAACCGCTGCTGGGGGTCCATCCTCGCCGCCTCCAGGTCGTTGACCCCAAACAGCCGGTTATCCCACTCTATGTGACTCCTGAGAGAATAGTGGATTTTGATGTGAAATTACGCTTTAATACGGTAGATTTGTTAGGTCTATGATACAGCGATAAACGTTATTCTACGTACAAAAAGGCAGGATTCTGTGAACAACACGCTATTACAATTGATTACATTTTATAATACCATAATACATCATGAAAGGTGAGAAAAAATATTTAATTTGCTACAAACATTAGCTATTTACAAAGTTATTTTTATTATCTTTATTTATTTATTTATTTATTTATTTATTTATTTATTTATTTATTTACGAAAACATTTTATGTGTGATTTCAAAGCACTCTGCAGTAAGGACTTTGCGATATGAAACGGAACTATGCGCACCACACCAAAAGTGAAAGCTTATGTTTACTAGCTGTAAATTAAATGAAACATGAGTTTTATCAAGTTTTGATATCTAATCACGTATTCTCTTAATTGTGTGCCACATGAGCATTTGATCAAATAATTGCCGTTATAGCTTCGATGGCCAAAGTCAAATATGTATTATGACTTTGACAAAAGGAAGAAAGAAATGAAGGAGACGGATTTTGTGGTGCTTTTACAAAACAGCTAAAAACGAGAATAACGATGGGACAGATGTCCAAATTAAATAAATTTTGGACAAGGCCGAGAAAAAGAAAGTGAAAGTGGACTTCGAGGTAGGGAGAGGTGGGTGGCGCACACATGCTTCACATATATAACTAGTTTTAAAGTTTAACCTTGAGCAAGTATTCTGTAAGTTAAGTTTGTGCCCTGATAAAACGATATTCTTAAAAACACTCCGCTTTCCTTGAACAAAGAAAATAGTACCCATAGACGTGTTCAATAGTGTATTTCTACGCCTTTTTACTAAAACTGATAACTACGACACTTGCCCATAAATGTATTGGAATATTTAACGAGACTGTGTAGCTGATCTTCCTAAAACTGCTCCTTGCATCAAGTGAAAATTGGGAAGGAGATGAAAAATTCACGTACCCTTTAACAAAACCAGCCCGAGTGACGTAAGTTTTGCCAGGGGCATCTGGGTCAGAGGAGAAGAAAGCGTCATTATTCCATCTTTCTTTTGGTATATCAATCACGTGGTTCTCTCCATTTTCAAGAACTTTCCAGAATTCATCAATGTCGTCTGCTCCGGGAAAGCGGCAGCCGACGCCGACGATGGCGATAGCGTCATCGCCTAACATCATTAACTACAGGATGATGAAAAATAATAAAGCTAAATAAAACAGAGTCAGAATATCTAAAATATTTGAAAAAGTCAGAGATGCAAAAAATGAAAATGTAAGCGGAACAAACGAAACCATTTAATTATGAGTAGTGGAAAAAAACATCTAATTATATTTAGAAAAATATCTGAGATGTTCAATCAAGTAAACAAGTTTACAAAATATTAAGAATTCTTTTGAGTATTCAATTTGAACCTTACCGGCTGAGAGCTTCGATCGCGACTAACGCTTCTTTGATAAGTGCCTATTTATAACATCGAGGTATCTATCAGCATGACAAGCTAATTGGAATCCCTATCTTTATCATTCTAGCCATGAAATTGATTAATATGATTACATCTCATTGATCATAACAATAATATTCAAAGCATTGTCCTGACTTGCAATTTTATTTGCAGTGTCATGGCTGACTTTCAGCATTACGGCACTCACACTGCGCGACTGAAAGGCATCGGCAAAATCGGACACTGCTAAAATATCATCGTCACCATTATGTAGCCGTTTATTGGATTAAACGCAATCCATCACTGGAAATTACGACTACCGTGTGCGTCGGGATTACTGGTACGACCATTGAAACTAGTTCAAACACCAGTAGATATCATATCTTTATCGGAATACCGTATGCCAATCATGATGACCATGGTTTACGTTTCTCATATTTTGTTCATTGTTTTTGATGAACAGTCTATGGGGGTCTTTGATCACGTCTGGCGTACAATAGATTGCTGATGGATTATCATTTTAAAAGAGTGGCTCTAAATTGACAACTGGCGTACAACAATAGCTTTCTGTGTCCAAAAAGAAGTAAAAAGCATAAATCATAAAAAGTAAGTACAGAAAAAGCAAAGAAATCGAGGCTACGATACCAGTCGTCATTTATCCTTAAAGGGGTAATACCTCTTCGTTTCGGCCAAAAAAATGAATTTTCCTGGAGTAAACAATAATTTTCCCATACTTACCAATGGTTAATAAATCCATTTTTACATTAAAAGTTAGTCCCTGGTTTTTTTCTAAAAAGGTTGGTTTTTTGTTAAAATCTCTTAAGAGATTTTAACAGAGTATAGCCATCAATGGAGGTCACATGGTCTAAAGACAAGCTCAGATATCAGAATAATGGCTATAACTGCCGTTTTTGTGGTAAAACAGAATATATTATATTTCTATGAGTTATTCACATTGTTTTTATTGTGAAATATAGATCTCATACGAAGAGTTATTATCCCTTTAATTGACAGTCACTGGGCACCTGTGGTTGAAAGATGTAAAGTTATATGTAGGCCTACATAGATCCACAATGGTGGGTACAGATTCAGGAACGATACAATGGCATAAGAAAAAAAAGCGAGTTATCCCTTCACTCGGTATCTTTCAATGAAAGAAAAATTTAAAAAAAGCTTTTACAGGAAGACTTCGTTCCCTCTACCACACACTACACTGGAGCATCCCATGATATACATAAAAAGATCCCAACAGCAATTCAATTTTAATTCAAAGGGCAAGAGAGACGTTATATTCTTCAAAATTATGGAATTGGTTTTAGTTTTTTATTACGCAAATTATTTATGTCCTAAGCACCATCATTTTAATTTCAAAATATGAATACACACGCTATAATCCAATCGCGAGAAAAATATCAAATTCAACACCTAGATTCGTGTGTTCTATTAAAGGCACCCAGTTGTTAAACCTCAGAGCAATCACACTCTTCAAAAACTTTCTGCTTGCTTCTGACAACGAGTCATCGGACATCAAAGTTCTGTCAATTTTGGCACAAGCCACGTCGATCGTGTCTATGAACTCGTCTTGCTCCAGCTTTCCCCCTACACTGATGAGCATACTGGCAACAGTCTTGATAAGATAGTCCATTGGGTCGTCTAGCAGGCACTCTATGACTTCCATTATACTGTCTGCTAACACCAGTCCCTTCGCATACATCCGGGCAATGAAGATACCCAAATGTTTAATTTTCGTCGTCAATGAAGCTATTTGTTCAGCTGTTCTTTCCATTGAAGTCTCCAAGCGGATCTGAGACGACCGGGAGTGTGAAGAGTAATCCTTCGTCGACAAACGGGCATACGAATTCAGTTTGCTCTGGTATAAGTCCAACGTAGAGTGAAAGTCCTGTTCGGTTTTGTTTACAATGGCGTGGGTAATTCGCAGCTGAGCCATCTTTCCTCCCGAAGTGGGATTTGTGAATACTCGCATCTCAGTCTCGTAAATACTGGCTATAAGTTGTACAACTGGGCCTCCGATTAAGACATCTGATTTGACATTTTGTAATATCAAATATCCCAGAACGTCTATTTCTGTACGAGTGCACACTTTCTCGAAAACAACCTTAGTGAATTGTTTTGTGATTTCCTTCATTGCGCTCTTATTTGGCTTGAAAGGGTCTATCTTTTTCGAAACAAGATCTAGAATCTTCTGGATATCCTTTCCAAGGGGCGAATTCTTTGCCATCGCCTCCACAAAGCTGTCTTGGTCAACTCCAAGGCGACTGTCAGACTCTGAGAAATTCATTTTCCGTGTAAAAAAATATTAGACATTTAACCTTATTATGATGAAAGATTATTTAACTCACGACAAAGTCCGTTACACAGCTAGCTACGTCAGTAAACGTCATTGCGACGCGATTCTGACGTCAACGGACACAGTACGTGGCGCCACCTTTTTCACACGTCACTAACCATATCATATTTATGCCATTCCATCCCAACAATTAAATACAGGGGCGGATTCAGGATTATTTAAAGGGGGGGGGGGTCCGCAGATGCGAAGCCGACCCCCCCCCCCACTGGGGGGTTCGGGGCCCGCTTAAAATTTTTGGTATTTTAGAGGGCGAATAATGCCATTTGGTGCGGTTTATAATTATGATTCAGCTAGACAAAATTCTTATTTCATGAGGGGACCAGAAATCGAAGGGGGGGGGGGGGTCAGGACCTCCCTGACTCCCCTCTAAATCCGCCACTGAAATGTACTGTTTAGGCTGGTTGTTCACAACTGAGCCGACTGGTATTTTTTTATAAAAAGAAATAACGACCATAGTAAGCTAGAATTATTTTGTACTTAATTCAACTATATGTTTGTTGCTGCATTAGTAAAAATGTCACTCGGTAATCGTTAAAATGAGATAATGGTATTTATTATTTCATTAAACATTTGAGGAGTCACACGTGCATGAAACAATTACTATCACTTACAGAGAGAGGAAAGATATTTTCTGTAAAATTAAAAGGATAACGAGATCTATATTTCACAATAAAAACATTGTGAACAACTCATAGAAATATAATATGTTTTACCACAAAAACGGCAGTTATAGCTATTATTCTATCTGAGCTTGTCTTTAGACCACGTGACCTCCATTGATGGCTATATTCTGTTATAATCTCTTAGACAGATTATAACAGATTATAACAAAAAAAAAAAAACTTTTCAGAAAAAGACCAGTGACTAACTTTGAATGAAAAAATGGATTCATTAACCATTGGTAAGTATGTGAAAATTGTTGTTTACTCCAGGAAAATTCATTTTTTGGTCAGAACGAAGAGTTATTATCCCTTTAAATATAATAAAATCAATGAATATACTGCTCATCGATAAGCCCCATATAAGTAAGACAAATATAGGAAAAATAGAAAATGGTTTTATTGATATCTGATATCATTTCACATTATTGTTCACATTCTCTCTCATGCACACTACATTTATTCTTTTTTGGCTCTAACGAGCTCATTTGAAACTGTATTTACTCAAGTTTCTTCACTTGCACATTGATTTAAAAACCGAGATTGCAATGCGAAGCCTTTGCGATTTGAGTTTGTAAGCTTTGCTTGTAACAAACATTTATGCTTCAAAAGCTCGGTAGTCTATGACAAGTTTTAATGAAACAAGACGGCAGCAAAGTCTCCACTGTCTCCACTCAACCAAAACTTTTGAGCCTCGTGTCCTCCTCTGGGGGAACGACACACTTCCCAGAATCCCCATGGGCATTAAGATCCCGACAGATGAGGAGAGCTGTGGTGGCCAAGTCATCCTGGTTCCGACTGGTGGCGCCACCGTAGCTGGAAGGTTGAGACGGTCCCTGTTCTGTGGTGCCGAGCGGGATCCCGGCATCGAAGCTTTTATCTACAATACACAGCGGGTCCATAGCTGGCTCTATAGCAGGTTCAGGCACGAACACGGCTAGTTCACAAGCTTCAGTCTCTCGTTGTATACCTATAAAATAGCAGTGACTTTTATTATTTCATCATGAAAAAACATTTTGTTTTCCAAGAATCCCCTCGATTCAAGTTTTTTTTTATTATTTATTAAAGTGTCGCATATTCTTGAAACGTAAAATACATAAAAACCAGTATAAAATATTTTATTTTTAAAAATAAATTTAATAAATATTATTTACAAAGAAATTGTTTGTCTATACATTGTCACTAAGGGAGAGAGAAAGAAAAAGACGGAGAGACAATAAAGATAAACACTCACTCCTCTTTCGATATCTTTTGCGCAGTCTACAAATCAGAACCGCGATGGCTACGCTGACGAGAGCAAAAACCACAGCCAAGGCGACCACGCCCACCACGGTGAATGTAACTCCACGGATGACCGGTAGAGGGCGATCTGTCTCTCGAGGAAGGGTGGGTGTGGTCGAGGCAGGGAGGTCGAGGTCGGAAGGTCGAGCTGAATATTTGCTAGACCTGGTCTCTGGCGCTCGTGTGCTTAGTCGCAGGGCATTGTACGCTGAAAATGCATGAATGAATAGACATTCAATTAATATCCTAAAGAAGACAACTTTCAAGGCCCTGGCTACACAGAAAAATAAAACTTAAGTCAGTTCCCTGGTTTAGTTGACTAGGATATCCCTGAGAGTGGTGTAACACTGTCCCTGATAGAGTAGGATGTGTGCATGTGACGTTGGTAGCCAAGTACGTTGTCAGGGAAGCCGGGTTTTTCTTTTCTTTTTTTTTTTTTTTTTTTTTTTTTTTTTTTTT